CGAGCAAGGTGCGGGTTCGAGACCCGATTGATGTAAAGTTTCTTGCCCATAACTCAGCATTCTTGTGAAATTACAACGGTTATCCTTACTTGTGCAAGCAGGTAGTCCCGGTGAGTCTGTTCGCCTTGGGTGGTGGTAACAGACTCCTTTTGTTTTGCAAAACTGGTGCTAGGTAGAGGAGATATGAATTAGCCCAAGCCTAGGTAGGGGAGGGAGCTCAGAGGTATGTAGACCAACTTCTTTGGGAGAAAAAGGGAATTGCGCTTAAGGTTAATCCACTTCTTGCCCTAGGAATCCTATAAATGCGTCCCCCCAACATTGAAGCGAACAGCATTGTCTGTCTTTGCTCGTTTATTCATTATGTTCAATTGAATCTGAATTTTCAACTGTTTCATTGCTTTATTGTGTTTGCAACTTTATGCGCTAAACGAGTTTTTGAACTTTGTTCCTCAAGCTTGTCTTCACTTGTTGGTGTTACCTACGAATTTAACCGGTTTTGGAATTGCCGCGGTGATCTCTATTGTTGATTGCTTGTAATAACTGTATAAGCAGGTTCTCCGTGAAGTTTCGACGTCTTTATTTTTTCATTCCCAGTATTGCTTAGTGTCGTGGTGATGGAAGCAGCACCACTTCTGAGCCGGATAAATTGATTTCAGTTATTTTGTCTTTGGTGTCACTGGTTATTTTCCACGTGTACTTCTGAGTTCTCTCTTTTTTTTGTCCGTATTATGCTGCGCTCATACCTCGCGATTCGAGCGATCCTGACGCGCGACTGCGACCGAACACGCTCTAGCGCTAATTTTGGACTGCCACAACTGCCAGTTCACTATGTTGAACTTCTTTCCACCTTGCTACCACGGTAGCGTTCCATCGATAGCCGTGGAGCACGGGTCGGTCACAGTCGCACGACAGTCGCTTTGCGAAGTATAAACGCGGCCGTACTGCTGGGTATCTGAATAATCCTTCGTTCTTCTTATAGGGTCATGGCAGACTCCCATGAGTCGTTAG